ATAAAGACAAAGAAATCCAAATATATCATTAAAGAAAATCATCAAACCATGAAAGAAAGGATAAGAGAAAATCTTCAGAAACACAGAAAATCTTCAGAAAATGTCAATAAATACATTTCTATCAATAATTACTTTGAATGTAAATTGATTAAACACTCCAATCAAGAGACACAGGGTGACAGAATGGATTAAAAACCAAGATCCATCTATATGTTATCTGCAAGAGACTCGTTTTAGACTTAAAGACACTTGCAGATTGAAAGTGAGGATATGGAAAAACATCTACCATGCAAGTGGATGTCAAAAGATAGCCACAGTAGCAATACTTACATCGGACAAAATAGACTTTAAAACAAAGACTGTAACAAGAGACAAAGAAACACACTATATAATCATAAAGATTACAACCCAACAAGAAGATACAACAATTGTAAATATTTATGCACCCAACAGAGAAACACCCAAATACATAAAAGAGCTAATTACAAACTTAAAGGAAGTAATCAATAATAATATAATAACAGTAGCAGACTTTCACGTCCCACTTACAACAATGGACAGATCATCTAAACATAAAATCAACAAGGAAACAATGGCTTTGAATGACACACTAGAACAGATGGATTTAACAGATACATTCAGAACATTCCATCCTAAAACAGCAGAATACACATTCTTTTCAAGTGCACACAGATCATTCTCCAGAATAGAGCACATTAGTCTAGGAAACAAACCTCAACAAATTCAAGAAGATGAAAATCATACCACGCATATTTCCTGACCACAATGCTATGAAACTAGAAGTCGACCACAAGAAAAAATCTGGAGAAACCACAAATACATAAAGGTTAAAAGACATGCTACTGAACAATGAATTGGTCAACCAGGAAATGAAAGAAGAGATAAGTACATGGAAACAAATGAAAATGAAAACATAATGGTCCAAAACCTCTGGATGCAGCAAAAGTGGTTCTAAGAGGGAAGTTTATAGCAATACAGGCTTACCTCAAGAAGCAGGAAAAAGCTCAAATAAACACTCTAACTTTATATGAAAGTGTTTATATTAAACACTCTAACAAAACCTAAAACTAGCAGAAGGAAATAAATACTAGAGCAGAAATAAATGATATAGAAGGTAAACAAACAAACTAAAAAAAAAAAACAAAAAAAAACAAAAAACAACCCAGTAAGACAGATCAAAGAAATCAAGAGCTATTTCTTTGAAGAAAATCAATAAAACTGACAAACCTGTATTCAGGTTTATCAGGAAAAAAAAAGAGAAAGAACTCAAATCACAAACAAGGGAGGGGAAATAACAACCAATCCCAAAGAAATACAATCATAAGAGAATAAAATGAAAAACCATATACTAACAAATTGGATGACCTAAAAGAAGTGGATAAATTTCTAGAAACATATAAACTACCAACACTGAAACAGGAATAGAAAATTTGAACAGACCAGCAAAGAAACTGAATTATTAATCAAAGAACTCCCAATAATCAAAATTCCAGGACCAGAGGGTTTCACAAGTGAATTCTACCATTTAAACACTTAATACCCATTCCTCTCAAACTATTGCAAAAAACAGAAAAGAAAGGAAAACTTGCAAATTCATCCTATGAGGCCAGCATTACCCTGACATCCAAACCAGATAGAGACACCACTGGAAAAGAGAACTACAGGCCAGTATCCCTGATTAACATAGATGCAAAAATCCTCAAAAAAATATTAGCAAAGCAATCCAGCAATACATTAAAAAAATCATTCACTAGGATCAGGTAGAATTTATTCCTGGATTGCAAGAGTAGTTTGCAATGTTTGCAAATCAATCAACCTGATACATTACATCATTAACAGAAAGGATAAGAACCATATGATCATTTTGAAAGACACAGAAGTAGTATCTGACAAAGCCAAACATCCATTCACGATAAAAACCCTCAACAAAGTAGGTTTAGAGGGAATATACCTCAACATAACAAAGGTCACATATGAAAACTCCACAGCTAACATCATCCTTAATGGGAAAAAAGAGTTTTCCCCTAAGGTCAGGAAGAAGACAACGATGTCTACTCTCACCACTTTTATTCTACATAGTACTGGAAGTTCTAGCCAAGTAATCTGACAACAAAAAGAAATACAAGGCATCCAAATTGGTAAAGTAGTAAAATCACTATTTGCAGATAACCTGATACTCCATATATAAAACCCAAAAGATGACAGCAAAAAAACTCCTACAACTGATAATTCAGTAAAGCCACAGGACACAAAATCAATGCACAGAATTCTGTTGCATTTCTATATACCAATAATGAAGCAGCAGAAAGAGAAATTAATTAAAAAATACCATTTCCAACTGCACCCAAAATAATAAGATACCTAGGAACAAACCTAACCAAAGAGGTGAAAAAACCTGTACTCCAAAAAGTATAAAACACTAATAAAAGAAATGAAGACAACACAAAGAAATAGAAAGACAGTCCATGCTCATGGATTGGAAAAACAAATATTGTTAAAATGTCTATACTACCCAAAGCAATCTACAGATTTAATGCAATCATATCAAAATACCAACAGCATTTTTCACAGAACTAGAACAAACAATCCTAAAATTCATAGAGAACTACAAAGACCCTGAGTAGTCAAAGCAGTCTTAAAAAAGAGTGAAGCTGGAGGCATCATAATTCTGGTCTTCAAGTTATATTGCAAAGCTGTAGTAATCAAAACAGTATGGTACTGGCACAAAAATAGGCACATATATCAACAGAACAGAGAACCCAGAAATAAACACACAACTGTATGGTGAATAAATCTTCAACAAAATAGGAAAGAATATCCAATGCAAAAAAGACAGTCTCTTCAACGAATGGTTCTGAAAAAACTGGTTGGCAACGTGTCAAAGAAAAAACTGCACCACTTTCTTATACTATACACAAAAACAAATTCAAAATGTATTAAAGACCTAAGTGTGAGATGTGAAACCTAAAAATCTCAGAAGAGAACATAGTAAGTAAAGTAACAACTTTGACATCAGTCATAGCAACTTTTTTCTAGATATGTCTCTTGAAGCAAGGGAAATAAAAGAAAAATAACCTATCGGGACTACATGAAAATAAAATGCTTCCTACACCGCAAAGGAAACGATCACCAAACTAAAACGCAATTGACAAAATGGGAGAAAATATTTGTAAACGACGTATCTAATAAAAGGTTAATATCCCAAATATATAAAGAACTTATAAAATTCAATACCCAAAAAACCAATAATCCAATTAGAAAAATGCGTAGAAGACATGTACAGACATGGTCACCAAAACATGAAAAGATACTCAAATCATCACTATGACAGTCTCACTCCTCAGTATGGCTAAAATCAATAACACAACACAAGAAACGAAGAGGTGCAGGGGAGGGTGTGGAGAGAAAGGAACACTTGGGTACTGGTGGTGGGAATGTATACTGGTGCAGCCATGGTGGAAAACAGTACGGAAGTTCCTCAAAAAGTTAAAAATAGCACTAGCCTGTGATCCAGCCATCACACTACTGGGTATTTAATCAAAGAATGCACAAACACTAATTCAAAGAGACACATGCAACCCTATGTTTATACAGCAGCATTATTTACAACAGCCAAGATATGGAAGCAGTCCAAGTCTCCATGGACTGATGAATGGATAAAGAAGATGTGGTATATAAATACAATGGAATATTATTTGGCCATAAAAAAGATGAAATCTTGCCATTTGCAAGGACACGGATGTAGCTAGAGTATCATGTGAAGTGAAATAAGTGAGTCAGAGAAAGACAAATATCATATGATTTCACTAATATATGGAATTAAAGAAACGAAAAATAGAGGGGGGGGGGAGAGAGGCAGGGAGTGGGAGAGAGAGAGAGAGAGAGAGAGGGAGGGAGGGAGGGAGGGAGGGAGAGGGAGAGAGAGAAAGAAATAGTCTTAATTATAGAGAACTGATGGCTACCAGAGGGGAGGGAGCTGGGGGAATGGGTTAAATAGGTGATGAGGATTAAAAAGTGCACTTGTCATGATGAGCAGGGTGATGATGTATGGAACTGTTCAATTACTACATTGTACACCTGCAATTAATATAACATTGTATGTCAACTAACTGGAATTAAAATTAAAACTTAAAAAGAAAAATAAAGCACAAACTCATGATGATTTAAGAAGCCTGCATGTCCTGGTCCTTACCAATCTCTCTCCCTTGCTCTCTTGTGCACCAGCCACAGGGACCTTCTTTATGCTCTTAGAAAATTTAATCCTTCCCATTTCAAAGCCTTCCCACAGGTTGAAAGTCCCTTCTCAGAGCCCATCTGTCTGGTTAACAACTCCACATAACTTCTTTAGGAAAAACCTTTCTTAACCTCAAACTAAGTCAGTCCTCCTGACAATGCTCCCTTTACCTCTCTCTCACTGTGCTAAGTCTTCTTGCTAATTATATTCATAACGATCTACACTATGTCTTACACAGTAACATTAAGAGGTAAGGAACCGTTTTTTGATTACCACTGAATCCCCAGGAATCAACACCAACCACAATGCCTGGCCCAGTTTAGGAGCTTAAAACTTCTACTGAACAAATGAATAAAAGTTCAGAGGAGGGTTGGAGAAGCAGTAGCTATTAATCTGGTTAAGTACTTCCCTGTAACACTTATCCACATTCTGCTCAGCATGCTTCTTAATATTTAATTTTCCCTTTCCTTCCTGAATTTTTAGCTTTGTTGTATACAACTATGAATGTTCCACTGCCTCCAAATGATAGTGAGGCTCACAGGAGATGCTCCAGGCTGAGGAAATGGTATGGAACTGAAAGGAATGTTAAATGGCCTGAACATAAAAGAGAAAATTGAACTCTTCCTTGAAGGCAGCTGTGGCCTGAGATAAGAACAGGTTTCCTGCCCTAATTTTTCCTTCTTTAGGGTCACTGAAGTTGACCTCTCTTTGTGGGGATGTAAGGATTCAAAAGGGCAACACTTACTTGTTCCCATGAGGAAATCATATGACGTTCAGCAGGAGGCTTTTCTATGATAGTCACGTCTGTCACACCTGGGGAAGATTCTGGAAGAGGAAAAAGAGTCTGTAGAGCTGCAATAGGCCCGCTTTTATATATTTCAATACTAGAGGCTGACTAACTGTTGATGAGTACTCTAGGAATATCAGATTCCTCTGAGCAGCATTTATTACCCATGTGATAAAAACAGGAAGAGGGGTGCTTGGGTGGCTTAGTTGGTTAAGCATTTGACTCTTGGTTTCAGCTCAGGTCATGATCTCACAGTTCATGTGTTTGAGTACCACATTGGACTCCGCGCTGTCAGCATGGGATTCTCTCTCCCTCTCTCTCTGCCCCTCTTGGGTTCTCTCTCTCTCTCTCTCTCTCTCTCTCTCTCAAAATAAATAAATAAACTTAAGAACACAAAAAACAAAACAGGAAGAACTGCTCAGTCTTTTGAAGGCACTCAGTCCCACAACCTAGGACCATGGAGTCAACCTGGCCGAAAGGACATCATCGAATACCCCCTACACCCAGTCACAGCTTAGTAATTCAGCAGTTGAACAAAAATCAGAGATTCTATGTTCCTAGTGATTTCATACTGAACATCTCAGTGAGCTGAATTTATGCACTTATGACATGGTCAAAAGGAATAAGGAAAAGCACCCCAATAAACTTTTACAAGATACAACACTTGTTTGCTAATTTTTCTTCCAAATAAAACTCATCTTCTACTCTATGAGATCCAGGGTTTAGAAGTTTAGGCTAAAATTATGGAAAATGGACTCTATCCAGAAATATACTGAAAACAAAATAAATCATGTCTCTAAATCTTTAAAACAGGAAAAGGTCTTTAAATCTCTTTGTGGAGATATGTTCCATCATTCATTCTGAGGTAAAAGAGAAGCCACCTGAGTTGGAATACAACAGATTTTAAGACCTCCTACATTCTCCACTTGTCTGTATTTACCCATACTCAGGATCTTTAAGTCCTTAATCTCAGACACAAAATCTTTTATCAGTGGAACTGTGTTCCTTACAAAAAAATACACTTTTGAAGTCCTAATCGCCAGTACCTCAGACCATGACTTTATCTGGACATGAGGTCATTGACTACGTGATTAGTCAAGATGAGGTCCCACTGGAGTAGGGTGGATCCCAAATCCAGTATGACGATGTCCTTGTAAAAAGAATGCTTTGTGGAGAGACACACAGAGGGAAGAGGGCCACATGAAGGTGGAGAATTGGAGTGACACATCCATAATACACAGAACACTGAGGACTGCCAGCAAACCAGCAGAAGCTAGAAAGAGGCAAAACGAGTTCTTCCCCTCCAGGCTTCAGAATGAGCATGACACTGCCAACTCTTTGGGTTCAGGCTTTTGGCCTCCAGAATTGTGAGAATTTCTTGTTCTAAGCTACCTGCTTTGTGGTACTTTTATGACAGCCCTAGCGAACAAAGCCTCTACTCTTTTCTCTTTGCCATACTGCACAGATTGTCCCCAATGTCACCACTATTTTAGGCCACGGACACTGCAAGTGTAGATGCAATCAAAGCCACAAACTCTGTGTGCCTGAGCCACCCTCAGCATACCACCAAAGGACCTTGGCCATAACTCGGCTTGCTTCTTATCTTATCTTTTCAGTTCTCCCTGTGATCTGGAGGATAAGGCCCTTACTATACTGGTCTGGCTCTAGTCCAAACCCTCTGTTCCAGGTGGGTCAGTTCCCTCATTGCCTCCACCCCTCTGTCCCCCACCCCGCAAACTAAATCTGCACTCATCTTTGATTATGCTGTATCCCTTTCCTATTATACACACCCAAATATGTCCATGTGTCTCTCCACCTACGCAAGTCCTACTCACACTCCAAGGCCATGCTGAAGTTCCACCTTCTCCGTGAAACCATTTCGGATGTTTTTTTTTCCCTGATATCCTAACCCATCACATGCAGGGTTGGGGTCACATATGTTTATACTTAAGTATATTCTATTTTGAGTCATATCTTGGTTATTTACTAGGAGTAAATACTGTAATCAGGGAATGTATTCAAATGAATTTTTAAAATTTCTAAGAATATGACAGAGACTTCTAAACTAGTTTAATGTGTAAAATGGTTCCTGGACCCAATCCCTCCGACATTTTTGTGGGGAGATTTTCTCATACCAAGAAGCAATTCTTGGATACCCCGATGTCCCACAAGGAGATGGCATCAGATCCCAATGCTTATGGGTTCAGTCTGTAAGACCTTGACCTTCCCCTTCCCCACTTCAGACACCAGACACAAGTTCAGGTTGTCACCTGTGCTTCTGACTGATCTGCAAAAGACTGGGGGTTCTTATGACCCCCTCTTCTCATACTTCAGACACCAGTCAAAAGCCCAGACTAGCTATAAATCAGGAGGTTCCTCAGACCCCCTCCTCAAGTTGCATTAATTTGCTACAGTGGCTCACAGAACTCAGAGAAACATTTTCCTTACTAGATTCCTGGTTTATTATAAAAGGATATAACCCAGGAACAGCCAGATGAAGAGATGCTTAGGACAAGGTATGTGGGAAGGGTCACAGAGTTCCATGCCTTCTCCAGGCAGGCCACTGTCTCCAAATCTCCAGGTGTTCACCAACCTGGAAGTTTCGGGTTTTTATGGAGGCTTCATTACACAGGCATGATTAAATCACTGGCTGTTGCTGTATCCCAAGATATGAACTTTGTGACAACTTAGAGGAAACTATGATGCATAGAAAGGGTACTAGCATAATTACAGAATCAGTGAACCACACTGCGATATTCTGACCTCTAAGAAATATATATTTGCTCACTCAGATGACAGCTGACCCTTGAACAAAGCAGGATTAGGGCTGCTCACTGCCTGAAGGTCAGGGGATGGGACTGAAAATGCCAATCCTCTAATTCCATGTTTGGATCCACTGGCAACTAGTGCTCATCCTTAAGTGCTTTCCAAAAATCACCTCATTAACATAATTAAAAATCTTTACCACTCTTAACACTTATGAAATTACAAGGGTTTTTAGGAGCTGTAAGCCAGGAACTGTGGACTAAGACAAAATATACAGGTGACCCTGGACCAATATGGGTTTGAAATGCATCGGTCCACCTGAACACTTACTTTTTTGAATAAATACAATATGGTACTATAAATGTATTTTCTTTTCCTTATGATTTTTTCAACTTTTTTTTCTAGCCTAAAGTACAGAATACAATACACACAACATACAAAATACGTGTTAATTGACTGTTTATGTTATCGGTAAGATTTCTGGTGAACTGTAGGCTACTAGTTACATTTTTTGTGGAGTTAAAGTTATATGCAGATGTTTTACTGCACTGTTGGGGGTGGAGGACTGAGGAGCCCTAATCCCGCTTTGTTCAAGCTTTCACCTGAGTGAGCAAATATATATTTCTTATAAGTCAGCATATCACAATGTGGTTCACGGATTCTGTAATTATGCTAGTGCCCTTTCTATGCATCATAGCTTCCTCCAAGTTGTCACAAAGTTCAAATCTTGGGATACAGCAACAGCCCAATAAAGGAGGATGAGAATGCTGGACTCCATATATTCTAGTCTTGCTTTATACATTCACCACTTGTGTGACCTTAGATGAGTCTTCACTTTTCTTAGCATTCAGAGAGACAAGACTCATAAGAATATTTCCCTTGATAATGGAAGCTGAAGAAGCAGAGATAATGGTGCTTTGGAAACATAAAAAGTACCATATACACAATTTTTTTTTTTATGCTTTCCGGTCAATGTTCTTTCTAAGATACTGTGAAGCACAGTACTAAGGTGGAAAAACACTGTGAGCTTTAAGCCGTTACACTTGGGCTAAGTCCTTGCTATGCCCCTGGCTGATTAGGATGGAAGATGCTGTCTCGCCCTTCAGGGGTGGCCCATTTGGTAATGTTCCCACCAAAGGTAAGACAGTGAATAATAAATGTTATTACTGACACTTTATAGTGAGGACAAGAGGGTGAGGATAGGCCACTCCAAGTGGCTAGGCTGACTCCATGTATGGGTCTAGTTAAGAGTTTATGTACAAACCTCATTGTGTGCCCCTTAGCAAAGCCCTTTAGCAATTAACCTATGCAAATGCAGACTCTAGCTTTAATCAGTCTTAGCAGCCTATTACTCCAACTGCAGTAAAACAGCACAATACAGAATTCTTTGTCAACAATCCACTGGTTGCATAATGATGTCATCTAACTACACCCAGGAGGCAGTCTAGTGCGTAGGGTTGCTGGAGGACACATATTTCATATAAACCAGTATAAGCACCTGACATTAAGCTTTTGATTGCCAACCCACCCATTTCAAATACATTCATCTTAAATAAACGATTTGCCAGCTATATGACACAGCTACAATCTAAACAATCAGGAACCAGGGCACCCCACTCATTAAGTTCCCCTTTTAAAAAGCCCTGAGTAACTGGGGTAACTGATGGTTTGACTGACCTTGCCTTTCTCCTCCCATGCCCAAATTCCCACACCTAAATTTTAAATTCACCAATAAAGAGTGATTCTGTGAAACCCTGGCCTCCCCACCCTTGGGCCCCAATAAAAGATACAGGTCTGCTCCTCATCCCCGCCATCGGGCTGTGTGGCCCTCAGGCCTGGCATGTGCCCTCTAGGACCTGTGCACAATAAATCCTTTCTTCAAAGTTCCCTGTTGTCGCTGAGGTGCAGCTTGCAAGCATAGTGAGAACCACAGGTGCCAGTCCAGGTGCAACATTAACACTGGCTCCAGTCAGGAAAATGTGGGGGCTCATCACCAATCCTACACGCCCAGGTGAGTGCCTGAGGCATTCCTAGCTGATAGCATCACTATGAATAGGCTGAGACAGACAAGCACACAATGATTCAGTGGGTAACAGGTTCAGGTTCAGGGTCTACAAGGCTTAAACAGAACTGCTGTGATGCTATTACAGATGAGGGTATGAAACTGAATAAAAGAAACTTCATTTAAAATGGAGTCAGGAGGCCAAAAGTGGGAGCCTGCAAGGTCTACCACTCTGTCAACTTCACACTTCAACAGAAAGAGAAGTACCCT